TGTGTTCTGATCAATACTTGCACAATTTAAGTTGGCTTTAGTTGATCATTTAGAACTGGCTACAACTTTTTCATGGGTATTTTTGCAAATCTCAACAATATCAAGAAAAGCTAATTTTATATAACCTATTTGTTGAAACGACGCTTATCATAATACAAATGATTCGCTCAGTCAAGAAAATTAGACTTGCTTCTTTCAAAAGAAAATACTTGATCCTATAAATTACAAAGGCGTCACCGAGCCTATTGAACTTATTTTTCTTTTCAAACCATCCTAATAAGCTACTTACCGCAATCAAATAATTAAAACAAAAGCAGATTTTAAAACTTCAGCGATCCGTAACTATCGGTTTTTGTCTTTATTGCTTATGTGATACCTTTTGTGGCTTTTCGCCAAATGATTTGTTTCTTATCTTAAACAATAACATTATCTTATCTTTCTTCTTTATATTATTCTCTCTTTATTTCGTTCTGTTTGAACATCTTTTAACTGGCAACTTTCTTGAGAGCAATTACACTTATCAAAAGTAAAACATTGATGGTAAAAAGCACACGGCAAATGATAGCAAATAAGCAAAAACAACTAATGTTTGTGCGAGAAGCTGTATTTCAGATTAAATGCACACACCAACATTTATCTGTGTATGATATGATATGATTTCAGTGTAAATATTTTTGTATTAAAACATGTCTGAATACTGTTTCTTATGCGTCTAAAAGATGAGAACCAAATGCATCTGCACGCTGAAATAGCTCATTGAGGTCGCAATTTCAGTTGAAATCGCATCTGCATTTGTATGTGCTTCTTCTTTTCCTTTACACCTCATACTAGGAATCCAAAATCACTGTCATCCACACTTACAACCACATATACACTCACATACCCCCAGTTTCGACTTTCATCATGATAAACCAATATAAAAATTTTCACTATGTTGATCCACTTTCATTCTATAAGCTTTACTCTTTTAAATTAAAAAAAGCTCAGATCAATTCTACATTCGACCGTCCAGAAATGCTTCTGGACACTTTTTTTGAAGACTTTTATGAGGTTTATTATAAATGAAAATATTTATTAATAAAAAGATTTCCTACATAAAAACAACACAAAACAGTTGTAGTAAACTTCCATATTTATTATTGTCCTGTTCACGAAACTTTCGACGAGGATATGAGTGTCTTTGTTGGGAAAGAAAAGACTCTCACTTGCTGTTCAATAATCAAGTTAAATTATATATCGTCTGTAGTGACTTCATTTTGGAATAATTACGTGATTTTTGAGTGGCCATGAAGATATATGATAAATGTCAATATCCAATATTTTTGTAATGCATTTGCGACTAAGCTGGTTGTGACACCTTGAATAAATTGGTATTAGAAGGATGTATTGGCGACGCCTTTCAATTCAGAAGTATCATAAATCAGTCAAGCGAAAAATTTTCGCGAAGAAAAATATTCAATAACTCATGCCATTAAACAACGAAGCGCTTGATAGATAACCGCTCGAACTGTCAAGTATAAAGATAAGAGCAACACCCATTATATCGATATTATAGTATTAGAAGAATCTGGTAACTAAGATAGAGTCAAACGAAGAATGACGGTTAACACATTATGATCAATCCTTTGTAAATACCGCGGTCGCTCCGATTGTGATCCAAATGTGAATGACAGAGACGGATACTATTATTTAAACATTTGTATTTGCTTAGAGTTCTTTACCGTAATTGAATTAATATGATTCTGTCTGTAACTCCTAGTTCAGAAACTTAAATATTGAAAAATTATAGATTATAATAAGTTTTTACATTCGAGGAATAAACTTATCTGAAATAATTAACAGGCTGAAAAATAGTTTCCTCCAATTTGTTAGTATTCATTGAACCTGTTATAATCGTTTTCAGCCCAAAGACACAAATAGATTACTTTGAGATAGAAAAAAGCACAAAGCTGGAGTGTCCTTCTAACTAACGTGCAAGTATTATATAATCTGATCTCTTAAAATGAAAGAAACAATACTACATTGACAGTCGTAGTAAATTCAAAGTGAAAAATCACAGTGTGAAGTATCTCGAATTTATGTTGCAAAGTTGTCGAAACTGGAGATTATAAACCATTGTAGAAACTTGAATTCATACTTAAAAGCTTTGTGATTTCATTCACCTATTGCTGTTTCATTATCTTAAAACATCATCTTTGTTTTATAAATACAACAATTTTATTTATACATGCTCTCTATTATGAAGAAAAATAAAAATAGAATAATATCTCTAATGATTACACATATTTTATAGTGATTTCGATGAATTTTTCATTCTCAAATTCATTTCTCTTAAAAATTTGGCTGAAATTAAGACCATCGAAAACACTTTCGGTTTGTTTCATGAGAGGTTTGAAGACAAAATTGGTAAAGATAACAGCTCGTAGAATTGAAGATTTCAGATACATATATTTGAGTTATACTCGATTTAAAAATCGATAAAAGTCTATTTTAACTTTACCTTGTATAAAACGGCGATGGCCTATGGAGCAATATCGATAAGTCGACGATGAACTGTAGTAAGTACAAAAATAAAACGGCAAAACTGATTAATTCGATGCTTGAAACAATAAAAAATAAAGAAAAACAAATATAAAATAAAGAAGGCATGAATGGATATGACTATGGCTGAAATATGACTCATGCCCACACCCTGAAGTCAAATTAGGCAGCTACTCATATAAACTATTGTGATCAATATTTTTTGTAAGTGCAGAATGACATGAAAATGTCTTCTCTTGAACAAAACGATCATTTTTCCATCTGTACTTATTTTGCCAAAACTAGATATTTTCAATCCAGTCGATCGTTTTGTTTAAAAACATTTTATCTAAGACAAATCAAAATTTAAGCATGATATGAGATAAACAATTTTGAGAATGATTTCGTAATGAATCGCAAACGAAATTCAAGATAGAATCATGCTTTCTTATTTGTTTATGGGAAGGCCACAATCTTCTATTGAAATGAATTCAACACGCTACTCATCGTTATTGTAAAGAACGTATTTGCTCGTTTTATGGATCTGTTATCTATTGAATTTTCATTTATAAAAGACAAATTTTCTTCTCATTTTCCTTCTCTTTTCAAACTTTGATGATAAATGAAAAGGCCTGTAAACAAACTAGAATTCATTAAATAATTGGTGGACTAGTTTTACTTCCTTGAACTGTGGTTCAAAAACATATCATTTCTAGATGACGCCGCTCTATAGCGCCATTGTGAATCAAAATCATTACATGGATTGTTAAATATACTTTCTAATAGTATCTAGTAACAACAAGGAAATACAGCTTTGAAACCGTCTTTTCCATTTAACAGATAGTTATTAATCCGATAGAACCATGTCTGAGTTTAGCGCAACCCATATTTATTGATCAATATATGAGAAAAGAACTCAGTACTGAAGAGAAATAAAGCAATCAAACACCAGGTGGGATGACTCAAACGAATCCTTGGTCAAATACCGGGAAAAAAAGCAAAGTAATGGTTATCTACTTTTATTAGCTTTACTATAAACTGCAACATCAAAGTCCACTGTGCGATTAATATGATAGTAGTCCTTTCCCTTTTCTTCATACTCGCTACAACACATTGCGATGAATATCTTTCATCATCGACATGCATTAACAGTAAGTAAAAATCGATGAACCGAAACATATATTGATTAATGTCCTCTTTTACAATACCAACAGCTCCATCGTGTTTCACATTATAACCTCACACAGCTATTATTCTAACAACTTTTTTCTGAGACTCGTGCTGATAAAAAATATGCTCATAGTTTCAAGAATTATACGGATTACTAGTACAAATGTTTACCAAAAGTTTATATTTCACACAAAAATCGATGGAAATTTTCGTTGTGAACAAAGAATCATACTCTTCATGGCACTCTTAGATGTAAAATTTTCCTTGACTACCGACACTTTGAGGTTTAACACGATATTATCCTTTAAAGAATAGAAGGAATGCATTTTCGTCAATGAGATGATAGCGTAGGAAGAGGTAAGTGGTTTGACTGCGATTCTGTTGAACTTGTTTTTCATTATTATTCTACATGGCTTAGACTTTTTTCTGTGTATCGATTCATAGAATACAAGAGAAGTTTTTGTTGAATCTATTCACGAGAGATCGATTATAACCGAGTGACACGACAGCTATTTATCCAAGCGGATGCTTCCATTGCATAGTGAAGATATTTATCAAAGAAAAAAATATTTTTATTAAAAAATAGACGAAGAAAAAGATTATGAATAATTTAGACCGTTGAAATCAATACAAATCTTAAAACAGTTGAAATAGCTTGTCATGAAAAAGATTTATTTAAGAAAAGGAATCTTTCATAAAAAAACAGTTATAGCACTCTAAGATTTATATATAAAAAATTGTGAAAATTTGAAGTTGTTTATTCAATAACATCTAAAGCAACATTCAATCAACAACTTCATCGGATTTGTAATCAATTATCAATATTGAAATAAAGATTTTTATTATTTAAAACGAAAAAAATTAATTTATATAAATAGATCATTTTTACCCAAGCAAATAGTATATTTCATAATTCCTTGTTGCAATGAAAATTTACTCTAGGAGAATATATAATTAATGAGTATATATTTAGAAAAACATGTGTCCGATTTGTTAGATGATAGTTTAATATATCAGACATCAGATAGATCCAATAATTAGATTTATTTGAAATCGTTGCTCCAATGAGATACTGACGAAAAATACAATTGGTTGTGTTTTCGTTGAAATGATATTTTTTGTTCAACAAAAAGTGAACAAATTATTACTATATTCTATTACATAAAAAAAGTGAAATAAAGAGAGAGAAAGAATAGGAGATTTTAGAACAAACAAGAAACAAACTGATTGATATGCAACACTGGAAGGATTGAACAAAAAAAAAAATTTTTTTTTTTATAAAAAGAGAAAGGCAACAAATAACGAAAAAATCAAAAACAAAGTTCGCCGAATTGAGCACAACATAATTTGCATCGCCAATCACCATCGGGTGCTTTTGATAATGGGGGTGAACAACAGTACATGTGATAACCACTGCAAAAATGAAAATGTCAAAACCAAACAAACTATGATAAATAAGAAAAACTTACCGATCACAATCATCACAAAATAAAAGTTCTGAATCATTTTCTGAATTACCACATTCAGTACACGTCTTACATTCCATACATTGCCATGCATATGTTTTCACTTGATGAACCATATTTGGAGTAAATTTTAGACAAGTTGGATGTGCAGAACCACCACAATCCTAGAAAACAAAAACAACATAATTAGATTAAAATAAAAAATAATAGTTTATAGTATGTTTCAACTGAATTACTTTACAGGTAATCATTTGTTCTGGTAATTTGGTTGTTTTATTTTCTTGTTCATCACCACCACAAAAATCACATTGCATACCAGTTGTGATTGTCATTGCAGGATCAGCTGATAGACTAGGTTGCTTTAGTGGTTGTTGAAACTGCTGTTGCTGTTGTTGTTGTTGTTGCATCATCATCATATGTTGTTGATGTGCTATTTGATGTTGTTGCTGTTGCTGAGAATAATAAGAAACACTACTAGTAGGTGCTGAACCAGACAAAGCAGCAACAGTCAATGGCATTGAAGCGGATGGAGACATTGAATGATGATGAGATTGAGGTGGTATACCATAGGGTGGTTGTTGCTGTTGTTGATGAGGATTCATTGGATAAGAAGGTACTGATATACCAGGAGCATTAATAGTAGAAGGTAAATGTCCACTAGTATTATTATGAAGAATGGGACCAGTCGTTATCGATTGATTAGGATACATCGGATGTTGTTGATCCATAGGTACATTTATATATTTTTGTTTCATATTTGCTGATGTTGGTGAGCATGATCCATTATTATCAGTAGTTGACATTGTTGAAGATGATGGTCGATTATCTGTATTTACATCTTTATGTTTAGCTAGGTGATATTGTAAGCCAGGTTTTGTCTTATATCGTGCTGAACAAAATTCACATATAAATGGCAATTCAGCAAGTGTATACTGATGACGACGATGACCAGTATGAATTGGTATATTACTATTTACTCCATTACTACTATTAGTAGAGTTTCCACCAGCTAAATCAAATAGAAAAAATTATTCTTAGAATAAAAATAAGTTTTTTTCTTGTACCATTATTTTTTCTTGAACCAATTTGTGGTGAACGTTTTGTAGAACTACCACGTTTTGAACGTGATATCGAAGATGCAGGTGATGCTGGACCACCAGGTGTACCAGGTCCACTACCAGTATAATCATCAAAATCTAAATCATCCAAATCATCATCATCAAGAATATAATTTTGAAGATGATTATTATGAGATGTTGTATTATGTTGTGGCCAATGAGGTTGTTGAGGTTGAACAAGACCCGTCATTGGTGGTGCTGATGATTGAGATGAATCATCACTTGAACCACCTGTAAATCGGCCAGCTATCATAGCAGGATTTTCAATCATAGAAATAGTTTGAATATCAGTATTTGACATTCCTATGAAAAAAAAATTCAATTTGAAAAAAAAAATTTATTCTTTATTTTTTTTTTGGCTATACCAAGATCACCAGCTCGTAAAAGCATACGAGGATCATCTTCCATTGATAATTGTATAGATTCATTTGTACTGTTTGTTTTTATTACTGATGAATCTGTTTGTTGTTCATTAATACTATATGTATTTGTTGTTTGTGATTGAGTTATTGTTGATGGTGGATTTGATCGTTTTTTATGCCATGTTTTACGTGCATAAGTTGATACCTGATCATGACGAATTGGCATAAGACGTTGTGTTGGTTGTTTCCATAGATGATTTTGTGTTGGTGTTTGTATAATATGAGTTTGTGAATCAACAAATGGTAAACGTAAGCGCATACGTCTTTCACGTAAAAGACGTGAATTAAATTTATGAACATTTGATAATGCATCTGAATAAGCAAGTTCAGAACCAAATGCACGTGAAACACGCGACGTTGGTAATATATCAATCATTCTCTGTTAAATCGATTTTTTTAAAATTGTTTATACATATTCAATCACTCGATTTGGATTGTCAATATTTATAAACCAATCATAAGTTGGATCTCAAAAAAAAACATAACTGATAGATATCGCTCTTGTCTTGCTTGCCTATATATTATTTGAGAATGAAATAAACGAAGAAAAACAAAGGAAGATTTTTCATGAGGTCTTTGTTTCATTACACTGTTTTGTTTTTGTA